ACAAAGATAGAACTTGAGATAAACCAATTCAATGTACACCAAGGTGGGGACAGGGTGGGGGAGGTTTTTTGAGAAAACTAATAGCTTTGGAGAAGAAAAAGATATGTTCACCCAAAAGGCAGAGTATTATATGGATATATGTAAGGTTATCCCATAAAGTCTTGCTACTAGAGCTCCAATTCATACATTCAATGATTTTTTTTCTAAACAAAAGATGTCTAAGCAGGTCTCCACGATCAGTGGATTGCTGCAGATATGTTTCCTCAGTAATACATTCATCTTAATCTCTGTAGGGTGGGTTCAATAAGTAAGTTTAGATAAAACAGTGGCTTCTGAAGGGATCTGCTGGGCCAGTTAAATTCAAGAGAGAGAGAGGTCAGCTCAGAAGAATATGGCAAGTGGTTTGAGGATCCCCCCAAAGTAATCGTGTTAGATTTTTTCAAAGGACACACGATGATCACGGGCTTATCAGGAAGAGGTTTTAAGAAGACGGAAAACGGCACTGGTGAGGAAAATCCCGGGAAGTAGCACTGATGAACTTCTTTCGCCATCATGGACAACCTGTCCCCTAGGCTCATATTGCCATTTTAACATGGTATCAACTGCAAAATTATTCAAGGTAGGGTTAAAAACAGCCCAAACTCACTGCCTTCAAGTCCATGCTGACTCAACGATACGTATAAGACTGGGTAGAACTGCCCCATGAATTTCTGAATGGAGTAGAAAGCCTCTTTTTTCTCACACCAAGCCACTGGTGGTTTTGAACTGCTGACCTTTCAGATTTCAGGTCAACTCACAACCACCAGGGAAGAGTTGGGAAGATGGAAATACCACCTTCAGAAGTGTACAGACTTAAATGAAGGCTACATGGAGAAATAATAGCTTCACATTTTGATGTTTTCATTTAACAAAGATTTCTAAGATTTTATAGCCATGTATGCCAGAGAATGAGAAAGATTGTTTTAAGATTAAACATATGATAGCCCTAGGAAAAAATAAATAAATAGAAGAACTATAGGTTAAAATCTAGTGGAATACTCTCCTAACCCCCATATTACATAGATATTGTGAGAAACACAAACATACACACATACACACACGAGAGAGAGAGAGAGAGAGAGAGAGAGAGAGACAGAGAGAGACAGAGAGAGAAAGCGAGAGAATGAGAGAATTAGCCCAGGAGATTCATTATCTAACTAACAATAGACTATAAAACCAGGGAGAAGGAAATAATCAGAAGTAATTCCAGAATATATGCCTAGAACACAAAGAACATTATTCTACAGATTTTAAAATTCACTGAGTGCTCTGAACAATTATTTAACAAAGAGTACATCTTTAACATCTTCATAAAAATTTCCTGATTGTGGAAATTTCTAGAAAATATAAATATAAAAAGAATAAAATACTAGCTTCATCTCACTGGTTAAACAAACAAACAGAAAAAGAAAACGAAAAATAAGAACTGGGTTGGCACCGCAAGAGACATTGATGTAATAATTCAAAATTTCTCAGTGAAACTAATTCTACACAGAGGTAAAATTTCAAACATCTATGAGGATGAAGTAAAGATTTCATACATTAGAAAATAAATTAAAGACACTTCCCTCCTTATACATTTATTCAGTAGTTGTTATACATATACTCTACCACATAGGCAATAAATCAAGAAAAAATACCACATAGGATTCAGAAAACTAAGAAGCCTGTGGAGGAAATCCTAGACCTGGGATAGAGCAGTTCACCAGAACTAAAGAGGAACCATCCAGATCCGAGCAGGAAGATCAAAGGCTCTGATCTTTCTGGGGAACAGGAGATTCCTCCCACCTCCCCTTCAGGAGGCTGGGTGGATAAGGCAGGGCCTCATAGATTTAACTTGGGGTACCAGAACTGCCTACACCCCACTGTCTACGCAGAGACTCCAACTCATCTCAGTCCTGTAGGGGAGAGTAGAACTACTCCATAGGCTTTCTTGGGCTGTAAATCTTTATGACACAGAAGGCCACCCTTTTCTCCTTCATAGCAAAGGATAGTTTCGCACACCCATCATTTAGGTACGCATCTGAATACCTTCATCACTGCACTTCCCGGGCTTTTTAGAAAGATCTACCAAGTTCCTGAAAGACTAATCAAGGGCAAAAGTTTTCAAGAACGGAAATAGAATGAAAGCATACTAAAAGGGATAACTGGAAATATCTTTACACATCATAGAGGATGTTTGATAGCCAGCCTCAGAAACCCCGTGGGGCACTTCTACTGTGTCCTGTAGGGCCACTCAGAATCTGAACCCCTTGACACCACCACCCCTACCCACCACTCCCCAACAACAGTCAATGCTGGCAAAGGACCAAGTGCACCACCTCCCCGCAGCCAGGAACAGTTGGTGGAGACAAACTACCCACCTAATGGTTAGCAGTTGGGCAATTATCCATCAACTGCTTATAAATATTCTTCATTTTTTAAGCCAATGTGTTTTTAGCCTTTGGTAAAAAGACATATTAGATAAAAAAGAAAAACACTACAAGCTCATACTCAGTCTTTTTATCTCTGGTTTCTACTCTCCACTTTGGGGCCTCTTACTTTTGGGGGTCAATCTAGTAAAGTTTTAATTTGTTTCACTTTTAGGAGAATAATTTCTTGGTGGAGATTTGCCTAAGGATAAATGTGACAAACTCCTAAAGTTGATGTCAAAGAGTCCCGTCCTCTAAAGCAGGCTATAGAATGGAGATCATCACAATTGATTAAACTACTTTTCACATTTAAAGTATTCTTGTGTTTGACTTATTGGTGTGTTTGTCTTACTTCCCTTGTTAGAATGTCACTATCTTAAGGGCTAGGATTATTTGATTAATTTGCATAGATTCAACAATAATCTATTTCCTTATACACTGCAGGCCCTTAGGAGCTAGTTGGCTTAATTGAAAACCCTGATATACAATCAGGAGTTTTAACTACGGCATCTCATTGGACTAGTTTTTCTTTAATCAAGCACTTGTAATTATACTCATAAATTAGACAAAAATGAGGAGAAAAACAAAATTAATAGAAAAATAAATCCCTACTTGTTTCAAAATATTACAAAGAAAAAGAGGTTGAAGTGTTTTTGTTTTTTTCATTTTACCATTACTCCATTTTCCATCTCTTTGCTTTTTTTTATTCCAATCTATCATCAGTATGCCTGCTCTCCATACCAGACAAACTCACCTTTCTAGAGCCCTGGTGATGTAGTGGTTTATGAGTTGGACCTCTAACCGCAAGGTCAGCAGTTCAAACTCACCAGAAAGATGAGACTTTCTGCTGCTGTAAAGATTTACAGCCTCTGCAACCCATTGGGGCAGGTCTAATATGTTCTATAGAGTCTTTTGCTATAAGGTCACTCTGAGTTGGAATTGAGTTATAGTCACTGGTGGCAATGATGTTTCATTTTGGCTTACTTTTGAGAAGCATGGTAGACATTGATGTAAGGAATAGCAGAATAGATAAAGCCACTTGGTAAACATGATGATATCTTGGAGAGTGATTAGTAAAAGGAAAAAATGAGAAGAGTTAAAGATCCAAAGATTATCACTACCTAAATTTATATTACATACATGTATATATATGTATAAATTAATTTATTGTCCATCTTTCCATCTGTATTTTAACTCAATGAAAGTTCAGTTCACTGGTACAAATAAAATGTCATTTTATTAGATTATGAGATCAACAGTACCCACAAAGAAAAGATGGCTCAAAACAGGAAAGTTAATCTAAATGAATGTAATGGCACTGATAACATGAAATGATAATCCTAATCTATTACCTGGTCATATGCAGCCACGCTCCCTCAGCCAGTGGAGGCTGTATATTTCTATAATGCTGAACAAGTTCCAGGGGAGCTTCCCTACTGCGAGGGACTAAGGAGAAAGGCCTCGTGATTATTTCATGGGAATCAGTTATGGTTTTAGAGGTCACACTGATCTGTTCCACAGCCAACTCTGAGGATGCAGCAGGGCCAGGCAGCACTTTCCTCAGCTGTGCACTGGGTTACCGTGAGTCAGGAGTCAGCTCTTCATCAGCGAACAGCAACAGCAGCATACCTCGATCATTCTAGCTGTGCCTAACTCGAACCCTATGCAATACTTCAACACCAACCAAGGGTCACTTCTCCGGGAGAGACTCCATTCGCATAGAGTCTCCAAGTCAGGGCGTGGTAGAAACAGCTGAAGAAGAGAACAGCCCTTTCTCGTGTTGCTCTCTGGAGCGGAAGAGGACTTGGCTAATTTTAATAGGCTTTTCTCCCCCGTTGTTTTAACAAAAAGGTTTATAGCTAATCAAGCCACTTAATCTTGCCGTCACATCCATTCACACGCACAGTGGCCCGGTGGGATCACAGAGAATGACCCACGGGATTTCCAAGGCTCTAAAGCTCTCATGGAAGCTGACTGCCACCTTGCCCTCGTTCGGAGCAGTTAGTGGGTTCAAACTGCTGATTTGTCAGTTAGCAGCCAAGCTCTTAACCACCAGGACCCCTTGGTTTAATATTGGCAAGTCTCAGTTATGAAATAAATCTGAACGACAGTGGGTTAAAATTGTCCTTTTAATTAATAGCTATGCTCTGGAACCACTCCTCCACCAGTCAAACGCAACCAACTGACATTGAGCGGTTTCCACCCAGTGACCTGATACCAGGTTCGTCTTTCTCCCTGGGAGCAGCTGGTGGTTTTGAACTGCTGAACTGGTGGTTATCAGCTCACCACCTAGCCCACTGTACCCTAGGGTGCCTTATTTTAAGATGGGCAAATCTTAATAGTCTGAATAGGTGAGATTCCTCAAACTTATCCCCGTGAAAAGAACAACACAAACATGCTGGATAATCTTGATGACTCAATTCAATAACTATAGCTGTGTTGAATAATGATACAAATATAATCATGTTAGAGATATTTTTTATAGAAATCTGACAACAGAGACAATGGGAAGTTGTTCTACCCTCCAAATAGAATAGGTTTCTCTCTTACCTGGTTCACACTGATTGCATTTTCTTCCTTGACGATTAGGCAAACATAGGCACTGGCCACTGATTGGGTCACAAATGGTCCCAGGCAGTGTCCCCAAGGAGTCACACATACACATCTGGCAGCCTTGAAAATTGCCTATGGTCAAATTGTACCTGTGAGGCTTACACTGATTACAGTGCAGACCTGTTACCCCTAATTTGCAATGACATTGTCCTGTTGATTTCTCACACAGCAGAGAGCCATTTACTGTCCCTGTCCCATCACAGTGACAAGGCAGGCAGAGGAAAGAATTATTTTGCTGTTGTACGTGGACATATCCTTCCAAACATTCATTGCACTGTCTTCCTCCGACATTGGGCTTACAGATGCACTGTCCGGTGTGGGCATCGCAGATGGTCCCAGAGAGGGTGCCAGCTACATCACAGCCACAGGCCTTACAACCGGTGATGTCCAGTCCGTAGAAGTGTTCTCGGCAGGTGTCACACTGAAGCCCTTGGGTGTCCTTTTTGCATTCACACTGGCCAGAAAGAGGGTTGCAGAACTCGTTTACTGAGCCATGGAGGTGACAGCGGCAAGGCTCACACCCGTCCCTCTGAACACTTCTGAGAAATTTAAATCCAAAGGCACAGTGATCACACCGGAGTCCTAGAGATAAAAAGTATTTACAATGAAGTGAGGACGGGAAATGATTTAATTCAGCACCTCAAGATGGCTGAAGCACTAAGGGATGGAAGCCAAACCTGCTGACTGTGTTCTTCTAAGCGATGCTGCAGGGGGCGGCCCGCCCACTCGCTAGACAATGACAAGACTCCACTGAACACGCGTATAAAACTTTGCCTACAGCGTACTTTATGAACCTCGAATTAATAATCGATCACTCGACGCAAAGGCAAACATGATGCAGCGGTTCCCTTTGTTATAAACATTGGCTCCCTTTCCCTCCTCAGCCAATATTAAAACTGTAAGTTTTTAAATATCCACTGAAAAAATACAATACAGTCGAATATATTTTTAAGCCGTATAAAAGGAGAAGTACACAGGACCTAGGTGGTGGTTTTCCAAGTCAGAATTCACTAAAATTGCTTCCTAAAATGGTAGGCTGATTCCTACTTTTGTGACAATAGTGTGTCTAATCTGGAGATCATATATTTAAACAATGGGGTTAAATAAAACTTACCAAGAAACAATGTTAGGCTAATGCTTTTACATGTTCCTGTCTTCTCTCATGTTCAATTGACTTAAATTATGTTCTCCTTGGCTTATAGTCACATTGCTTGTCACATTGTGCCTTTCAGAACATACTTCTTGAGCAACTAAATAAGTTATACTGTTTATACTATTTCTCTGAAAAGGTATATAATCACCTAGAGGTAAATTTCTGGCACCTGAGGTTAGTTCCAAGCAGAATAGTATAAGCAAAGGAATTTAAAACATGAAGTGGTAAATGCCGAGATGCAGAATGATTTTTCAGGTAGCCTTAACATATCTACGAATTTAAATAACTTACTGTGTGGAGCAGAATTGAAACGTTTATTTTAAGCCATGAAAAAATTAATTCTAAAATAACAGGCAAAAACATTCAGAAACTCATATGTAGAAAAGCATTTCTTAAACTGGAAGGAAAGGCATAATATATGTGTATATATATATATATATATATATATATGGATAAAAATTCAAGAACTCCAATGGAAGGCAAGTTACTTTAACAATGATGAATGACTCACCTAAGGCATATCATTTAATTTCAATAAGGAAAATAAAAAAGGACCACTATTGCTGCAAATTTTAAAAATAACTGTATTGTTAACAAGAATTATGACTCATTTTTAACTATTAAAATTGGTCTACATGGATTCATATCATATCAGTTTTAAAAATATGCACAGTGCTTATTTGAATATGCCATACATATTCCTGACAGGTAATCTATTCCTCACGACACTGTGGGAGGCCTACAGGGCATCACGCTCAGTGTTAACAAGTATAGGAGAGTTAGCACACTTGGCATTTAATTCACATTCTTCTCCCTTTTTATTCTAGATGAATGACCTACTTTAATAAAAATTATTGGTGCTAATGTATTTTACCAGTGATAGAATCATTAGTAAGATTTAACAGTTTTGTTAACTCGCACAGTTTGCTTTCTCAAGCATATACAATGCACTTATATTTTCTGTTTGTTTTGTTCCCCATATTAACAAGGTAAAATTGAATGTGTTTATTTGATCATTGCAGTAGGGAAAGAAATATATGTATGTATGTATATACATATCAAGTTCTCTTTTTTATTTAAAAAGGACACGCATTGTCAGAAATAAGCCTAGGGATAATAATGCCAGCGGGTGACTTTGTTGTCACAACACATGTATATATAGTTTTCTTGGACATTACCAAGATCAACCAAAACACTTAGGTAAATGTCAAAGAGGTCATACCAAATTCCAAATGCTGAGTAAATTCTATCTTTTTTCTTACTTAAGCTCTGAAACCTAACCAACAGAGGACTGGGCCATAGAATCTCAAATGTAACTGTTTCATTGTCTACAATGGGGTGCTCCCATCTTGAAGTGAAAATATATCAAACATTAAAGAACAAAGAACGCCATATAGATTGAATTCAAAGATCTTAGAATTCAGTCAGCATCACAGATAACACGCAGAGATGTGGGTCTCTTTGTAAGTCAGAAATTCCCTATTGTTTCTGTTTTTTACCTGAAAAGTTAGTTTTTGTGTATTTGAAAAGCACAGAGGAAAACCGTTATAGATTTTAGTGTAATCTTCTTTTAAGTTAGAGGACTCTTGTGTAATACCATTAAGTACACCCATTTCCTTTATTTTTGCATTAAATTGAATGCTTAATGAACTGAATTTCATTATGTATATGTGTGCATGAAAGATAAAGAATAATGTGTGTCATGGAAAAAATAGTACTCAAAATGGTGTGCATATATGTATGTGTATATGCAACTATGCATTTGTGTGTGTGCATGCACACACGTGGGCATCACTGCCAGGCATGGTTTTACTGTGGTGAAGTTCAGGTCAGTGTTAAAAAGAACAGTGGGTGACTCTGTGTCTTGGATGACAATAGAAAGGTGAAGGTCCTTTGTCAAACTTCCTGTGTGAGCCCACAGGTTCCGTTACAATGCAGGATTCACTTCATCAGGAAACTTTCCCCTTATAATATTCTCATACATCAAAATTTCAAAGTACATTATGTACATAGTGCATTTTGGGCACTTGATAAATTTTGTCCTTATGTGGCTGTGGTTCCCCTCAAAAATGTTGGATGTAATAAATTGCTATAATCAAATCTAATTTCTGAAAAATACCTGTGGGAGTAACAAACAAAAAATGCACGTCTTGTATTAAAAAAATGATAAATAACACCGAAGGTGGCTGTTTATTATAATCAGGTTGGCACTGAATTACAAAATTACAATTACGTGGCCCTTTATAACTAACCCTAGCAATATACATGATCTGTGGAATTATGTTGACTTATTTTGCATTTCATAGGAACAGTTCAAAGAAATATAATAGAAAAAAATGGAAAGATTTATCACAAAGGGCCCTGTAGCAGAGAATATTTTTTTAAATCCATTTCTTTTGGTCTATTAAGAAAACTAGCATGAAAACGTTTTGCTTAGAACTCATGAAGTGTAAAACATTTTGAAAAAGTGCTAATTTTCTAAAAGGAACATCTATGAAGTAATCAAATTATATTTTTCTATGACTTATTAGTATGGGACCATGAGAACTAATGCATCTACAGAATAAAGAAACTTCTAAAGGGCTGATTAAACTCAGCTTCTAGCTATAGTTTGATAGACTTATTAATTTAATCATTTTTAGACAGTTAATTTCATCCAAAATGGTGTGGGATGTGTGTGTGTGTGTGTTTCCAGGCTGCCTTGAACACAGCAATTTCCTTCACTCTTGTGTTACAAAATGAAACAGAGATCTAGATGGTAATAAAGATGTGACTGTAAACTTCTGCATTACACATACCAATAACATTTGCTCTGCACTTGCACTGGCCTGAATTTTGGTGACAGGTAATATCTCCATCCACTGTCCCAGAGGTATTACAGTTACAGGGACTGCAGCCCTCAGGATCCAACTCTTGCAGATTGTAGAATCCATCCTGGCACTGATTGCACCGTCTGCCAGACACATGTCTCTTACAATCACATTGGCCTCCAATCTGAAGAAGATACAACATTTTGTAAAATGATTAACGTATCTATTTTTAGATCATTTGCTCATTCGGTACATGACATAGAGGAAGGGAGAGAAATACTTTGAATGCTAAACAGACAAGAAGGTAATGGGTTTTCTTTGTTTTGTTTTTAACCAGTGACACCAAACATGGGCGATTTTAACAGGGTGAATGCAGAGAAGTAAATGGAAATAAAGCCCTAGAAGTCAGCCTCATATAATGAAAAGGGAAACGTGGAATTAAGCATTAAGCACCCTATAAAGAAATCAAAATATAGACATGGAGGGGCTGAAAATAGCATAGAGCAGGCAGTTAATGTAGTCGTTACAGCTCCACCTCTCTCTAGTGGTTTCCTCTTAGTTCCTCTCTCCTGGATTCACGTTGATTTAAACATGCCTGCTGCTTAAACTGACCAAAAATCTTTCTTTAATCAGGTGATCCTGCCAAGATACCAAGGTGTTTCTGAGGTTTAAAATAATTTATTAACAGCATAATTTTTGCCAACTGATACTGACCACAAGATATTACTATCCTAATGTTTCTTAAAATATTTATTGACTATTAATGGTATTATTTAAAAGTATATTTTACAGATTTACATTGTGTTAAGAATGCAAAAACTTTACTTGACTGAGTTCACAGGCAAAATCAACAACAGAAACTCTTGGTTTCTTCTTCAACCTGCTGGTTCAGGAAGAATAAAAACACATAAAACGTATAATGCCCATTAAGTATAAACCTAAACTACAACATATGCTGGTTAAGCAAAGAACAGTAAAATCTGAAATAAATATGACAAATAAACCCTCAAGAGCTCAGCTCTTGTAAGACAAGACAGGTGGATGCAGACATCAAGTCTCTTCATAGTCACTGGCCCTTCCTTGTCCAGGGACTGAAGCCAGCTCGTGGGGAGGCCAGGGAGTCACATTGGAAGTCACCTACATGTGGACAGGTGCGGTTTGATTTAAGTTTGAGCTCAGGTATATTAAAAAATGTATCATCTTAGCTTAGGATTCAGTTACAACAATGGAGAGAAGAGTTCAGGATTTGTAAAATAAAGTTTGTTTTTTAATCTATCACTGCCTTGTTTTTCCTCATCTGAGAAACAGGAACCAATTGGATTCTTTAATGATAAAAATAGGATGGTTGATATGGAAATGACTCCAATTTTGAAAACTAGAGGGTTCTAGATGTACCAAATGCACCAGATGGAAACAAATCTCAACATCAAAGATGCACAGACGTCCAGGAAAGCGCACGGAGACCCTTGTCCCTAGCCTTGCTCTACACTCCACTCTGACCTGGCCCCATGGAAACTAGAGCATTATTCAAAATCAGGATTGGATTTGGCCTGAACTAACTGACGGTATGAGGGAAGTATGGGTTACATAAAGCCCTGGAAATCCAACAGGCCTCTGATCATAAACTTACAGCACTTCAAATTCATCACCAGTTAGTTTAGTAACTTATTTTCTGGCTTTCAGTTCACTTCTATTAGCCTTGCTTTCCAAACAGATGGCTAACCCCTTCAGGGATTTGACATATATTATATTGCTGTCAAAGAGTAACCTCACACTTTCCCCACAAGCAGAGTGTGTTTGTTCAAAGAGCAAGAAAGAGTGGAAAAGGAAAAGAGAAATGAAGTACATCCTGTGTCAAGATTTTTATTTTTCGTGCATTTCATTATTTTCTTATTTAAATATAAAGCTTTCAAGAGCTTTTTTGCCTCTTGAAACCCAGAAAAGGCCTATGAAGCTTAATTCTATTCCAACTGAATGAAAAAACTGCTATTTATGTTTACAAATTTTCACATGTATTGGTATTTTTAGAATCAAACTGGCACCTAAATTTCTGCTCTTATCATTTCAGATTCTTCTTGAAACCTGAATGTATCACCTAAGAGGTGAAATTTAGCAGATGCTTCAATTTAAAAATTGGGAATTTTGTCCTTTTTAAAAAGTATTCATTAAGCTTTACAAACTATTTGGTATGAAATGGGGTCAGAAATTTATTTTGAAAATCTTAATATCACTTTTAGCCACTTGTCTGTCAGTTTGTCATATCATAGTACCTTGCATGTTGCTGTGATGTTGGAAGCTATGTCACTGATATTCCAAATACCAGCATGAATACCCATGGTTGACAGGTTTCTAAGGAGCTTCCAGGCTAACACTAGGCTGGGAAGAAGGAAGAAAGTGTCCACTTCTGAGGGATTAGCACTGAAAGCCATAAGAATAGCAGAACATCGTCAGACATACTGTCAGAAGATGAGCCCTCAGCTTGGAAGGCCCTCAAAATGCGACCAAGGTAGAGTTTCTTCCTCAAAGTGGAGTTGACTTTCATGATATGCATGCAGCAGCACAGCTTTCTGAGCCTGCCTTCCATGGCCCCTACCCAAAATCAGAGGAAAAGGCTGAAAACATCCATTAATAATAGGAGAGTATAATGCACAAAATATTAATCTAGGAAAATTGGAAGTCATTAAAAATAAAATGGATAAAGATCAATATCTTAGGTAGGACTGAGCTGAAATGTATCAATATTGACAGTTGTGAATGGACAATTATATGGATTACTATGCCTGGAATGACAAATTCAAGAGAAATGGTGTCATGTCACATTCATCCACAAAAAAGAACATTTCAAGCTGCATCTTTAATTATAATACTGTGTATAATAGAATATCTATCTGCATACAAGAAAGCCCTGTTAATAAAACTATTATTCAAATTATTCATCAACCACTAAAGCTAGTGATGAAGAAATTGAAGAATTATACCAACTTCTTTGGTCTGAAATTGATCAAACATGCAATCAAGATGCAGTGATAATTATTGGCCATTGGAATGCAAAAGTTGAAAATAAAGAGAAAATTGTTTTCCACTTTGTTTCCTCAGTAATTGGGAAATATGTCCTTGGTGATAGAAATAAAGTAGAGCTATCATGACAGAATTTTGCAAGACCAATAACTTCTTTATTCCGAATACCTTTACAACAGAATGTAAAGTGACTCCACATGTTAACCTTGCCAGATGGAATACACAGGAATCAAATCCAGATCATTAGCCGAAACAAGATGTGTGACTCAAGGGACAGGGATTGGCACCTCATCAGACCCAACTGGAAAACACTCATAAGCAGACAGACCTGGAACTATCTATTGTTTGGGGAAGGGGGGTTGTTTATTCGTTTGTTTGTTTTCTTTTGCCCTGTATCTATCTATATAAGATAGGCAGGACAAACTATCCAGAGGAGAAAACAATGGGACCTATGGGGTATTGGGAAAGGAGGGGGCAGGGAGGGGTACTGGGGAGTCAACAAACTCAGGGATAAGGAAACAAGAGATATAAAATTTATGGCAAAGAGGGGATATAATTCTTTCTGGGGGTTGATCAAGTGCAATGTGTCCAAGAGGAATAACTGAGAGCCGAATGGAGGGTGAGCATGATAGCGGGACAGGAGCAAGGTGAAAGGAAATGGAGGAAAGAAGTAGGAGGCAAAAGCTATTTGTAGAGGTATAGCTATAGGCATGTATATCTGTAAATATATTCATTTTTAATGAAAGGGATAGAGGCCAATGTACATAATTTTATATATTAAGTATGAAGCTAGCAGACAGACTTTGGGCCTCTTACTCAAGGCCTCCCTAAACACAAGAAAACTTTTTTTTCTAATAACCTGGCACTCTTTGACATGATCTTTGACATGATCTTTGACATGACTTCCAGACACGATCAATGAAGACAAAATGGGTGCATAAGCAAATGTGGTGAAGAAAGTGAATGGTATCCAGATATCAAAAGATATAGCATCTGGGGTCTTAAAGACTTGAAGTTAAACAAGCATCCCTCTAGCAGGGAAGCAAATAAGCCTACATAGAAGAAACCCACCAGCCTGTGTCAAAGGAATCAGGGATCAAAAGATCCCAAATAATTATATCGATGTTAAAGAGAGGGCTTGGAATGGAGACCCAAAGCCCATCTGTTGACAATTGGCCATCCCCCCACAGAAGGGGTACAAAGAAGGGACGATTCAACTAGGGTTCAGTATAACAATGATGAAACACACGTCATTCCACTATTTCCTGAATGCTTCCTTCCCATTGCTCCCCACTAAGATGACCCAGTTTTACTTTACAAATTCACCTAGACCAGAGTACACACACTAATACAGATAAGAGCTTTGGACACATGGAATTCAGGACAGATAAAACCCTCAGGAACACTAGTGGGAGTAGTGGTATCATGAGGGTCTGGGGATGGGAGTGTGTGTGTGTCGGGGGCGGGGGGGGGGTGGGAGGAGAGAGGAGGAACCCATCAAAAGGTTGGCTATATAGCCCATATATCCAACAGAATAACAGAAATGTGGGTGAAGGGAGACAATGGACAGTGTAAGACATGAAATAATAATAATATATAATTGACCAAGGATTCACAAGGGTGGGAGGGCACGGGAAGGAGGAGAAAAAGAGGGGCTGATACCAAGGGCACAAGTAGAAAGAACATGTTTTGGAAACGTTAATGGAAATACAATTGAATGATGGATAGTTATATGATTAGGAAGAGCCCCGAATAAAATTATTAATAATAATAATAAAACAAGATCTGAGTCAAACTTTAGAACACAATTTCTCATCTATAAGTTCAAGTTGAAGTTGAAGGATATCAAAACAAGTCCATAAGAGCTAACTAAGGGAATATTTCAAGAATATATTTGATGCACTGAACCCAAATGACAGAAAACCTGTTAAGTTGTGGGGTGATATCAAGAACAACATGTAAGAAGAAAGTAAAGCATTTATTGTACAATTATGTTTGATATGACTGAATTATGGAATGAATGACATATGTTTTAATTCCCAAGTGAAGCTTAATTCCATCACATGTATTAAAATTTTTTAATTAAAAAAAAAGCATAGAGCCAGGAATAAGTTCTGATCTCCCATTAAATCCAAGCTCCAACTTAAAAACAATTACTTTTTACAA